ATTGGCTGCCTGCCTAGATCAGGGTTAAAGTCCTCTCGCTTATCCTTTACACGCTTGATCATCTCGCGCCCATTGGAGTCAGTGTAGAAGACGCCGTTCGAGGAGATTTCGCTATCGAAAACTGTCACAATTTCCCTGGCGGTATCCTCGTCAGTTGGAATGGGCCCGACGAGCCACTCGAACTCCACACGGTTGACACCCTCGTAGATGCGAATGACCTGGGAGATCCATTCGCTGAACTGCTGATGGACTTCCTTCACCAGAGCTCCATCGTAAACTGTGAACTCCACCTTGTCTTCCAAGAATTTCAGATCAACGTCTTCCTTTTGACGGAAGACATAAGCTCCGGATTCATATGTCTCATAAATGGCAAAGTTCTGGTCAATAGCCTCGGACACTCCGTTCATCTCAACGGTCTTCAGGCGACCCGTATTATTGTCGATCACCAATTTGATCTGCGATGTCTGGACCACAGTTTCGGAATCATCATCGGCGTGAGTCTCAACATTCTGCATGGAATGGACCTTCTTGAATCGCTGGGGCACCTCCAAGTTCTTTTTGTTTTGCTTCACAGACTTTTTAGCAGTCTTGGGCAGGACAATTTCCTTGCTCTCTACCTTGTCGACCTTCTTGATGTAGTAGCTGGCGATCTTGTTCACGGATGCCTTGAACACGAGCTCGTGCTGAGTTGTGTTCTGGCGGTATTCCAGAGCCAGGACTTGCCAGGCCACTGGCACCACCTCAGAGGCCACCAGGCGTCCCTTTTCGTCAGTCACCTGGTAGTTCTCCTCCTTCACGGGTACTCGCACATACTGTGAGGAGGTGTGGGCCAATGGATTGAACAGGGTCACCACCACATTGTCCGCACTGTCCTGGGTGAAGGCGCATTCGCTGATGTTCAGCTGCAGGCAGCTCTCGAACTCCCCCTCTGGCAGATTGGTCAGCACTCGCAGGGCATCTCGCGCATTGCTGGCTCCTCCTATAATGCCATCATAGAGCAGTCGATCGTAGTCGTTGGACACCGCCTGCTTCTCCGTTCCGGTGATGGCATCGTGGTGTTGCATTATTCCCATTATCTGACGAAGGTAATCGAGGTCTTCCTTCTGTTGCTCGCTCTTCAGATCGGCAAAGACACTGAGCTGTTTGGCAGTCTGCAGCATGTGGTTGCCATCGCGCTCGAAGCGTTTTTGGGTGGGTCGAGAGGTGTAGTATCCTGTCCAGAAGCTGTTGGAGTCGCTGGCATAGGGGAAGAAGTCCTGCGTCTTGTTGGGGTAAGATTGTAGGCCCTTATGCACAGAGTTCAGGTAGCAGCCGGGCGTGGAGTAGAAGATATTGTAGTGAGATCCATTAGCTTGCCGTGCGTTGACATATCTGAAAATTTGAGCTATTTTTTCACCATATTTCAATCATATTTCAATTAATCTTACTTGATCAGCTTGTCCATGTTCTTGTAGTTTATATGCGCGTCTTCGTACTGGAAGTCCCCGCCCAAGGGTATCATGATGTGGGTCGTGCGGAACTTTGCAGCCACTTTAGCTGCATAGGCAAGGAAATCGTCCACCCTGGTTTGGACGTTGTTGTCGTAGCTGTCTCCGTCGATAATTGGATCGTCCCTGCAGAGCACGTCGAAGCAGAAGCCAGAAGTCTCCCAGTATGAGGAGTAGAGCAGACCAGTGAAGAGCTTCGCATCGCTCAAGGACTCGCTGGCATCCCAAATCATTTCCAGTGAGAGGTCCTCCATGCGCCTGGCCTTATCTTTGTGGTCCATGCGGGAGAAGAACTCTCCATCGTAGCCCATTTGTGCGTACAATGAGGCCTGCTCACGACTGTGCCCAAAAGGATCGATCTGCCAGCCGACTCGAGGACGTGCACAAGCGCCAAAAGTCTCATCAAGGAACCTAAAGACCAGTCTCTATTTAGCCATTTAAGTTCCAGAAGCAAAACTCTGTTACAATTTACTTCAATCCCACGGTAAACTGATCAATCACACTGTGATAGTTGACTGCTGCCTCGTCGTTCATGCTCCAGGCGCCGTTGGTGAACTCCAGACGACCTTCGTTGACCAATTTTTTTACCACCTGCTTGACAGTCTCCGACTGTTCCTTCCACCATTTGGCAAAGAAGGAAGTCTCCACTTGGATGAAGCGACGCTTGGGATCCTTGATCAGCTCCGAGACAACTGTGTCGATTATGTACTGGACACCAGCATGTTGAATGTTATTCTTGTGGCCATAAAAATACTGATCCACAGTCTTCAGCCATCCAGCGTCGTCGTGGGAGTGTGGCACCAAGTGAATGTTGACAAAGTTTGGTTTTGTTTCGGGACAAGACTATTAGATATAGATCGAGAGATGGTTAACTATTTGAGTCCGCAAAGTCAAGGAAATTAGAGCGCTCTTAGTAACCTCATAGCCACAGACAGCCTCAGTTGGTTTTGTGTCGACTGCCAACAGTAAAACAAACAGGAAAAATGCGAAGTATTTCATTCCAGCACTTTAAAAGCTAATACTTCGGCACTCAACAAGAAATAAGGAGTCTATGCGACTCTAAGAAACAAGAGGCTCAAACTGGAGCCCACAACTGATTTTGCTACAAGTGTAAGTTGCCTTTTTATATGGGGGAAATGTGTTGTGTGTTATCAAGTGCAGTTGATAAGCATTGAGCACTTGACCGTATCTTGGATTAGGGAAAGTGAAGTGATGCTTAAAAACCAATTAAGTAGGTGCATTGGAAAGATAACCCCTGGTTTGGTTTCGGCATATGTTTCGAAACTTTGTATGACAAAGTGGCCAAACGAATCCATAAATTCGTCGACAAATGGAAAAACTAATCATCAGACGCAGGTTTATCTTAATTGGGTGCCATATTTAACAATCTGTCTATTTGCTTCTGTTTTGAGGAATATTTTTACAGCTTATCGATGGCATTCGATTAATTGAAATGATTTTAGTTGTAGATTGCATGCATAAACATTGTTAATTTTTATGAATTTGTACGGGAAATGATCAAGTGCCTTCGTGGCACCGAAACACTTTTAATTTGATTATTTTGGAGTGTTTATTAATCCTTCCCAGAAATACAAAGTTACAAAACACTGTATTTATTTTTTATTTTTAGTTTTTAAAATGTTACTTTTTATTTGTATAGAGATTTATTTTATTACTTATTACTTATTTTTTGTATTTTAATTTTTTCTTTTATTATTTTTTATTGATGGTTGTTAGTTTTCTTGCTTGTATTTTTGTTTGTTTTTCAAAATTTATATTTTTCAAATTTTCTATAGGTGTAAAATTAAGTGGAAACTAAAAACCGAAAGCCTTAGGAGTTAAGTCCATAAGCTGCACACATTATTCCGACCCCGTGTTCGCCCAGCAACAAAGCACTCGGGAGCCTGTTTTGGCGGTCAGTTGTTAGAGTCGAGTGGATTGAGCTCAATTCTAGGGAGTTATCATAAATAGGAGTGGTGTATTAGCTCACACTTAACTGATTAATGTCTGTATTCATTTTTAAACAGATATTATTAAATGTTACGATTATGTGTGGCTTAGTCTAAGCTCGACAAAGTTAAGTATTTTTAACTTTTAATCTGTTAGCGGTGCACATGTGGCAGTGACCGTCAATAGGTGAGAGCAGTAAACTTATTTTAAAGACAAGGTTAAGGGAAGGAGTAAATGAGGCTGTCAGTAATAAGTGTAAGATTTATATACTTAATGTTCCTTCAATCGGGTTGATTGAATTTGTTTCTTTATATGTCTCTTCATTTCTACGCAAAAGCACACATAGCAGAAATAGCAGAAAATAAATAAAACAAATCAGTTAGGATTATTTGGCATTACTTCTGTGAAAATAATAAAATCTATCTTAAAATTGCCAAGCAAAACCGAGCACCTGCACGAAGAGAAAATAAACTTAGTAACGGTGAGCAAAAGAGAGCAAATTGTGTGAAGTGATAGATTTAGATTATGTCTATCATATACATATATACATAGACTGAGTACCGGCAATACAAGCTGTGACGCGTTCGAGTCGCGTCTCACAACGTTCCTCCTTTTTTATGTAATCTTATCTTGTGGATGGCAATGGTCCCGCAAAAAATGAATTGCATTTCTCAGTCACCACAGAGCATTTTTCCTCTGACAAAATAAATATAAATGGAACTTTCTATAGTTGAAATACTAGAATACAAATCTTTAATTTACATATTTTATTGTTTTCACAAAAATACTGCGTGTTGAGAAACTCTGAGCTACTTCTTCTTGATGATAAAAGTGCGAATTTGCATTGGGTGCAGGGTGACGCTGAAGTCCGAGGCTTCCTGAGACTCCACAGCAGCCAGGGGCTTGTGTGCCGTAGTGAAGTATTCCACCTCTGCGGGGCTGTGGCCAGAAGCATCGTGGTGGAACTTGAATCGTTTCATCTCGCTCAGTGGCAGGTTGCCATCCAAAGTGGTCTCTCGGATTGCCACACCGCCCACGCCATCGAAGATCGGACGAATGTTGAAGCTAACCACATTACCCTCAATGTGATCCAAGAAGTTTTCGACTCTCAGTAGAATCTCATCATCGGTGAATGGCTCCAGGGTAAGGAGATGTACCGACTGGGGGAAGTCATCGAAACTGGGAAGGGTCTTGGCCACAGCGCTGCTGCTCTGACTGCTTCCCTTGCTGAAGAACACGGAGAAGGGAAGGTGGATCTCCTTCTCGGCCACACGCTCCACCTTGGTCGATTCCTTCACAGAGTTGAGGATCAGGTAGACTTTTCCGCGTGCAATGAGAGGTTTCTCGTACTTCTGCTCGTTCAGGGCCTCTCCCACACCATATCCATCGTCCCGAATAAGGCGGCGATGGAGCATGAGCTCCAACTGTCCGTTTTGCATGCTGGTTCCACCCTGGGCACGATCGTTGAGCAGAGCAATGCGCTTGTTGCTGTCCTCCAGGGCAATGCGGGAGACGATTGGGTAATAATTTCCACTAATTGGCTGCCTGCCTAGATCAGGGTTAAAGTCCTCTCGCTTATCCTTTACACGCTTGATCATCTCGCGCCCATTGGAGTCAGTGTAGAAGACGCCGTTCGAGGAGATTTCGCTATCGAAAACTGTCACAATTTCCCTGGCGGTATCCTCGTCAGTTGGAATGGGCCCGACGAGCCACTCGAACTCCACACGGTTGACACCCTCGTAGATGCGAATGACCTGGGAGATCCATTCGCTGAACTGCTGATGGACTTCCTTCACCAGAGCTCCATCGTAAACTGTGAACTCCACCTTGTCTTCCAAGAATTTCAGATCAACGTCTTCCTTTTGACGGAAGACATAAGCTCCGGATTCATATGTCTCATAAATGGCAAAGTTCTGGTCAATAGCCTCGGACACTCCGTTCATCTCAACGGTCTTCAGGCGACCCGTATTATTGTCGATCACCAATTTGATCTCCGATGTCTGGACCACAGTTTCGGAATCATCATCGGCGTGAGTCTCCACATTCTGCATGGAATGGACCTTCTTAAATCGCTGGGGCACCTCCAAGTTCTTTTCGTTTTGCTTCACCGACTTTTTAGCAGCCTTGGGCAGGACAATTTCCTTGCTCTCTACCTTGTCGACCTTCTTGATGTAGTAGCTGGCGATCTTGTTCACGGATGCCTTGAACACGAGCTCGTGCTGAGTTGTGTTCTGGCGGTATTCCAGAGCCAGGACTTGCCAGGCCACTGGCACCACCTCAGAGGCCACCAGGCGTCCCTTTTCGTCAGTCACCTGGTAGTTCTCCTCCTTCACGGGTACTCGCACATACTGTGAGGAGGTGTGGGCCAATGGATTGAACAGGGTCACCACCACATTGTCCGCACTGTCCTGGGTGAAGGCGCATTCGCTGATGTTCAGCTGCAGGCAGCTCTCGAACTCCCCCTCTGGCAGATTGGTCAGCACTCGCAGGGCATCTCGCGCATTGCTGGCTCCTCCTATAATGCCATCATAGAGCAGTCGATCGTAGTCGTTGGACACCGC